GTTGTGTCGGGACGGGGCAATTAAGCAAGGAAAGTAACAAGTCAAGCTGTTATAACCTTGCAGCAATGCATCGCCGAAGACTTTTCTAAACTTGCATTGCAGCAACGTGTGCTAGCCTTGCCACAAGCCATTCTTCCGCCACGATACTCGCTTGTCTGGATTCAGTTGGCATCTTCGCCAGTATGTTAAACCCGTCTTTCTTTTGGATTGGGGGAAAACTTACCTGGGTTTACGTTATTGCACTTTAGAGTTCGACTGGAACTCGTGATCCTCAGAAGGTAGTCTTCCAGCGAACTTAAGCTTCAACCCCAAGGCCTCAGAAAAGAAATGATACTGATAACACCAGCACTTAAAGGCTTCCAAGGTATGGCCGTGCGGTTTGAGTTTCGGACTTCGGAAGCAGGGCTCACATCCTGGTGATGGTCTGTTCAAATGATGCACCCACACCCGTTGCCCAATTCCTAAACCTTGACCTCTCGGCTTGGAACCTCTGATTCCGACACATCTGGATCCCAAAGCCATGCTATTGGCAAGAGATCCCACTGATCTGTTCCAAAAGCATTCCAAAAGTCGCCTCCAGGTTGAAAGGAATTATCAAGCCTCACAAGTACTGGTATCATTTCCACGTTCATCACCTGGAATAAATATCCTGCAATACTATCTTGGCCTATTGCTTACGATAGAGTCTTCAATCTGAATGCTACTTACAAATGCTGGCCAAAAGCTGGTTGCTTCGGTGGAGCGTTTCAGGCTTATGTAACTTCTATTCCTGCCAACAGGTCTATGAATGAGGTAAGGTGCTGGAATGATTGCCACGCAGCCACTTACTTCAGGCAGAACCCATCGAACTGGCGAGAAATAAGGCAATACATATACATATTATATACACACATATATTTGGCTTTCAAGAAGATACTTGATGCTGTCTACGGGCAGTCTGGGTTGCAAAGAAAAAGACAGAAACACAACACAGAAGCCGGGAACAATCTGTCAACAATCTTGCAAGGGGGCTGTGAGTGTAGAAGTTCAGACCCGTCCTTTTTCTCAGCCCTACCTTGCTGTGTCTGATGCGACGCTCAATCTGCAAGGCACTGCTCAAACCATCGAAGTGTAAACGCTATAAGGCTCGAACGCCACGAAGCAGCAGGCTCCATGCTGCTACGATCGGCCGCATTTGAGCACGAGGCGCGGCAAGCATCATAAATCACTAATTGGTGACCTTCGCAGATACAAAAGCTCCAGAAACAGCGGCAAAAATGAGATGGACACGTATAGACTTATCGGTAGGTGGACAAAAGCCAAAAGATCAGCAACGATTAATATACATTGCAAGTGACGACACGTACCACGGCCATCATCAGTGTGACCACAACCAGAAGAATCATGTTACTGTTCTGCTTCGTAAACGTTCATCGTTCTCAAACGCAATCATGACCAGCGCAACAATCTCGACACCATCTTCATAAATCATCTCGCGCATTCTCTCATTGAGCTCCTATCATCTTCTTCTTTCACCATGTCTATTGCCAGCAAACCAGCATCATCGGCGACATACAATATCAATCTTCAGCATATTGCTATGCAAAGAGACAGCAATGGAGCAACACGAGAGAAAGAGTAGTGCTCGTAAGCAGCATGACGGTGGAGTGGAGCTATAAGCTTTAAATTGCAGTAAAATAGTAGCCTTGCGCCTGCTCCTGCACTGCCTTCCTTCTTTTGGGGGTCGGCGGCATTCAATACTTTCTCAGGTGCAGCAGGGGAAGGAAGGGCACCTTCAACGAAACTTCAACAACTAACAACACCATCAGATCTAACACATTAACACGCAGCTCCCACTGAGGCGACATCTGATACGAAAAGCAGGCGTTGCAAGATGAAGCCTACTGGAGTTTGGCAAAAACTCAGCCTTCAAGAAGTGTGGGAGTGGGCTGGTGTTGTACTCGAGGCCACATCTGCAAGGCTGACCAGCTGAGAGATACGGTCATGAGCGAACGCAGCTCAGCTCTTTTTGGGCATTGCGGCGGGCGAAGAAGTTTCGGAAGGCCTGCCATTCCAGCGATCCCTTGTAACGGTCTTCAGCCTCCCCAGTCGTCCAGAAAGTCACTCCAAAAGCACATGAATCCGCATATCAAACAGCAGCCAGAAAGACCAAGCAGAAGGCCACCTAGGACCGCAACACGGAAGAGCAGCAGGAAGATGGCAGAAAGGAGAAGTTCCCAACTTGGCATCTCGAAGATCAGGGACCAAGGAGACACAAATTGGCCATCGTTGTGCCTTCCGAGAATCAAGGCCAGCTCAGCAATAGACATGCAAAGCACCGAGGGCAAATACCTCCACACTGCTTGCACCCCCGCTTTCCTCTTCTCTTGCTCATAGTAGTCATTGAGATACACACCCACGAGAACTGACGCGGCTCTGACAGCTTGCGGCAGAGAGAGGAGAAGGCTGCAGCCTGCGCTCGCGATCAGCGTGCAAACCGTGGAGAGAGATGCGCCGGCTGTGAGGTCCATGCGGAGGGCCGCATAGCACTGCACGATCGTGGAGCCAGAGCTCTCCACGATCTCCAGGAGTTGATGTTCGTAGAGCGAAGGCGTTGCAAAGCCCCTCCGTAAACTGGCTGCCATGGCCGCAGCACCTCGGATCTGGAAGAGGTCACGTTCCAGGACGCAGGAGACGGCCACTGAGGTGCCGACCACAGCTGCGTAGATTGGTTGGCCTCTCCGTAAAAACATCAGGATGGACAAGATGTCAAGCGCAGGCTCGAAGAGCATGAAGAAGCATGACAAGCGCAGCTGGCACTTTGCACCCTCATAGTCGGAGTTTATGTCGATGCAACAAAACGGTGGCTTATGCCTTCTGGAGGCAACAAACGGGCTTCCATCCTCGAAGCCCTCATCGTCTGGCGCAACATAGTCCGGACGGCCAAGTGGACCTCGAAGCCGTCGTTGTGACCCCGAGTCCTCTGCTTCTGATTCTTCTGAGTCTTCTGACTCGGACTCCTCATCCCAATTCTTCCACTGGAAACATAAGAATGCCATGCTGCTGACGCTGCCGTAGAGGACAGCTGCCAAGTACATCTGCCAGTTCGATGGGCACCAGCCCAAGGCCCAAGCGGCCGTTTCCACTTTCCAGCACATCCTGAAGCTGGTCTCGACACCTTCGCCCGCCTCTTTCATCTGCCTCCAATGCCAAGGGCTGAAGGCAAAGGGGAAGCCGGATCCCGGTCCCAAGCTGTCTCGGCACCACGCTAAACACTCAGAGGCCACAGAAGCATTCTCCACCGCATCTGTGGGCACCACGTGAGTGCAGCTCTTTGGCATATCACTGTGGTTGTGCAGCCGGGCGATGAAGGATTCAGGGCTGTTGACACGGACTTCCTCAGGGGCTGCAAAGTGGTCCAAGGCCGTGGCACCGAGCGCAATACCCTGGCACGCACCCCACACGGCCAACCCAAGGGCAAGCGGCAGAAGGCAGCTGGAGATGAGACAGGCTTGAAAACAGGAAAATGGATTATACCGAACGAAAACGCAGTCAAAACATGAATCGACTCGTCCCAGGCAATCGTTGAAGCGCGACCTGAAACGCCCGTCTTCCTCTTCCATTGCCATCCCGGAAAGGTCTGGCGAGGCCAGGAAACTGCTCACTTCAGGCTTGAGCTCAGAGTCACCCCCCGGCGAGATCTGGGAGTTTCCGACAACTAGGGGTACCTTATATTGGGGTCCTTTAATAAGGATCCTACTAGTTAAGGGTACAATATTAAGGGTTCCGTATTTTCGGAAACTCCCATTTGACTCGGTGATGTATGGTGAAGATGTCGGCTACGAGTAGGAGTGTTTGTGCTCACTGCCCCTGCTACCTGTTGTGGTGGGAAAGAAGCACTTCTCATAGACTGCGAACTGTGAACTACGGGACTTGTGACCAAATATGCTACCATACATTGCAGAAGCCCAAGCTCTAAACATCACCGCCTGCCTTGTCCAAAGCTGCAGCCGGAGCTGAAGCTGCAATATATCCGAAATTTGAACATTTGACTCAGAGGGAGGCACCATCTTATCTCAAGCAGGTTCAGAGTTTTGCCCGAGCCGAACTTTTAGTTTGAATCTTGAACCTCAGCCCGACCACGCAAGGCCCAAAGAAAGAGGCGGGATCTTCGCAAACCCCGTTTGCTGCGCTTGAAAGCTCTGAGCCGTGACCTGGGAGCAGAAAGACCCAGCATCATCTTGGGACCTTTGGTGGTGTCAAGAGCCTAGATAAGTACCTATTTTACCCCTTATTATAAATACAGTAATTACCTGTATTAATCCTTATTATGAATACAGTAATTACCTATACTACTCCTTATGAAAAGTATACAGTATAATAATGGGCCCAAAACCCCAGCCTAAATTGGCCGCTAGAGTATCTCAGCGACTTCTGAGTCAGCTTCCAAACGATCATCTTTGCCGTTCGTCTCCCCTTCAACCCCAGTCTGAGGCCTGCCTCCACTGCCTACACAATTAGAATAGGGTCTGGGCAGTTTAGGGCTTATAGGGTTTAGGGTTTAGGGCAGTTTTGGACTTGTAGGGTTTAGGGTTGAGGGGCCCATTATACTATAATTACAATAAGGAACACCCCCCAAAAAAGTATAGGTAATTATTAAGGCCACTGCCTACACTATGCCACATCCATGCCTTTGGCTTCAGTAGTAGACACCTTTGCTCCGGACGCCGACCCAACCTGGAAGATGTAAAGCCAATGTAACTAGCGTACTAGCTGCGCAGCTGCCACAGAAGAGCAATTGTCTTTCTTGGATGTGATGATGTGAGCCGACGGTCGATGCTTCGTTGGTTGAAGCTGGCTCGTGCAACAGGAGTGAAACCAAACGGAACCCAGAGGGTGCCTCTGACGAGTCTAATGTGCGGAATAATCCAATAGCAACCGAGTCACAAGGACTTGTGTTTTGAACCGTTGGACCGCATCAACACGACTAGCCTTCGCCACCTCTTGCAGAGTTCGCAGTCTCAAGACCTTTCGGGCAATGCTATTCCGTCAGTCCTCGCTGAATGCCTGGCAACCGGCCATGCAGAATGCAGGAAGTGATAGGGCATCTGGCAGGGCTTAAGGGACCTAGTTACCAAAACAATTCCTGAACCGTCGTTCTCGAGGACTACTATACGCTGCACAAATCGCTTCGCCACGAGATCGAAGCATAGCTGCAGCGCACACTTGCGAGAAGCTTCGAAAACAAAGCGAGGAAGCCCAAGGCATCAAACATCCACACAACTTCTTTAAAACATCAAGGTCTCGTGAACGCATCATTGTATGCACGGCAACGAACACATCACGCAGACCAGCGACACAGCGAAGCCACAGACCGAGAACACGACATGAGCAAACTCAACCCCTGGGGCTCCAAGTATGCAAATACTACCTACTTTGGGGCTTAAAGTCTATAAATAATACCTACTTTGGGCTATTTGGAGCCCCAGGGAACCATCTTTCAGATTTTCGGCCTCTTGGAGACATCCTCCAGCCGCTGGCCATAGCCTTGCAGCACCTCGACTACTTGGAGGATCATGGGAATTAGTAAGTATGGGTCCATAAAGGGATCCTTACAGGGTTCCTTACAGGGATCTATAAGGGTTCCATAATGGGAGGATCATGGGACTTAGTAAGTATGGTTATAAGTACCCGAATTGGAGCTATAAGTCGCTCTATGTGTAGCTGCCTTAGTACATCTTAGTACTGACCCTAGTTACTAAGTCCCATGATCCTTTACGTAAGGCCAAGGATACCGTGGGGTGTTGCGTAGAGAGCTGGCATAGCTTTGGTGAACGTTCCGGACCGAGATTGCATTCCTTTCTGCCCTAAACCCCAACTCTCCGAAGAGAGTTGAACTCCACAGCAAACCCGCGGAAGCACCCTTATGAAGAATTTGCTCTCCGAGGACTCCGAGGTTAGGAGCCATTCGGGCCCCAGAAAGCTCGGAAGACTGGCCCCAGTCGTACCATATAAACGGCCTGAAGAGCTGAGGCTGAGGCTCCACAATCCCCTTTTTGGAAGCATGTGCTGGACTGGAAAATCTCTGAAACTCCCACGATCGGCCAACTTCAAGCTTCAGCAACTTACGCCAACTCAGACATTTCGTTAAACAAAAGCCATACTCAAAGGAATCTGCATAAAAGGGGACCCACCGCCCACCGTTCCTGCGGCAACAGGCTCTGAATTTTTTGCTCCTCCGGCCTCCTCCAGGGCCTGTACCTGGGCGGCTAAGTCAGCGCCCAAAGCCTCGCCAGAAGTGTCAGAATTCCTCTGCCTTATACGATTTGGGGCTGGGTTTCTTTAAGGTAAATATAGGAGAATCTGTGGTGGGAGTGGACTTCTGAAAGATGCAAGCTTGGAAGGCTTATAGAGCTCTTAGCTACTGCTGGAACCCTGCAGAGGAGGATGACGACATGCTGGCGCAACCTGCCCGCGTGTGGCGAAATCCACGAGCACGAGCGTTACAAGTATCACTGTTACCATGCTCTTTGACAGACACGAAATACGGAAGTTGGCATTCATGTTTTGCTGCTGTCACCAACTAGACGGCTTCGCCTCCTCCGGTTCAACATCCGGAGACTTCGGTGTGCATGACTTGCTGATACCGTGACCATGGCTACACATCAGCACTGAGTCTAATGCATGCTAAGTCAGTGCATACTGTGCCTCTGAATGGTGCCAGGCGAAAGAGGTCAGGAAGTCCAGCTTCTTGACTCCGCGTCGCAGCCGGGCCACCCCGCGAACTTGGCCTTCCTCAAGGCGATCGGGGCTTCTGTGGCGGAGAACGAATGTCGGTCGAAGTCAGTTTACCGATGCACGGAACTCTTGAAATCCTAGCGAAGAGAGAGTGAACGGAGCCGAACTGCAGCCGCCGCTCGCCTCCGCGGCGTCTGCGGCGGCCGTGGCCAGGTCCGTGGCTTCACGGAGGGCCCGAGCCTCTTTTTTAATAACGGACGGGTAAGGCACGGTATGGGCAGTTTCACGGAGGTTGGACGAGCTGTTGCAGCTTCGCATGGTCACGAAGCGATTCCAAGAGACCTTCCCCGTGCCTCCCAACTTTCGGACAACCTGCACGCCCCGAAACTGCTAAGCCGCTAGCCACTGTGTTCAAGCAATCCAGCATGCTACAAGATCCTAGGGACTTAGCTTTAAAAACCCCCGAACCTACCCAGAGAGCTCAATGCCGCTTAATTAAGGGATATGGCTTAAATTATGTAGGGCTTCGTATGATGATTTAAGCTACATTCCTGAATTAAGTGGTATTTCTCTCAGTCTCTGCGGCTCATCCAAACCCTGCTGCGAACGTCTGAGGGCCCAAGCGCAGGAGCCAACTCCCCGGGTGAGGATGGTGGCCACGTCGCCGACGCAATGGCGGTCCTGAGTGCGAGCTGAAAAGATCCTGAGGGGAAGGCCACCATGCAGTGGAGTTCGCGTAATTAAACCACACACGTGGAAAGTTGGGCATCCTGGCTCTCGTCCTTACCTTCATTCGCAAGCAATCCCGAGTCAAGCTCAAGACTTGCCGATGCCGAGCCGACACCGCCAGTATGGATGAGAGCCAAACCCAACAGATCTGAGAGGTCTGTACGAAGGACAGAAATCCGAAGCCGTAGACCGTCCGACTGAGAATGTAAGGGCCTTACTAGTTAGAATAAGGTTTCGGGCCCCACTATTCTATACTTATAATAAGGAACCCCGCAAATTAGTATAGGTAATCTTGGCGGACTTCTGAACCCCTCCAAAAAGTTAAACTTTTAGCCTCCTTATTACAGTTCATATGGAAACCCAAAAAGTTAAAGTCTAAAGAATCAACCAGAAGAACGCCAAGTAATTATTGAGGCCCTTATAAGTAGATGTCCGAGAGCACCGCAAAGTTCGCTCCAAAGCCGCCCCCCGGAAGCTTTGAGGCCTCCGCCAGACACGGGGCTGAACGGGGCTAAGTTCGTTGGTTAGTTTAGTAGGGAATGGGGCTCCTTTAAAGGGATCTATAGGGGTTTAGGGTTCCTTTAAAGGGATACTTACCTTTGGTTAGTAGGGAATGGAGGAATGGGGTATAATTATAACTACTATTACCTACCATTCTTCGATTCCCTACTAACCAAAGATATGGAAATGAGCAGCCATGGTCTTAAAACCCAGACACGACAACCAAACGTGCCAAAACCGCGGCACCAGTGGTGGTACTTGTGGTGTTGGTGGTGGCAGTCAGGGGTGGGTACATTAGGAGCAGCAGCAGCAGCAGCAGCTGGTCGTCTTCTTCCCGTTGCTTTGTTGCAGAACACATTTCTATGTAACAGTTCTGTGGCAAGAGCGGCAGTATTATGCACGTTGTGAGCCCAAGAAAACATCGAATAAGGGCCGACGCGGAAAGTGACAAGAATGAACCAACCATGAGAACATACACAGCTGGTTTGTTGACTGTGAATGACAAAACACGTTTGAACTGCACAACTGCTGGGGGAACGTCGTCGCTGTCATTCAAACCTCTAAAGAAGATGATCACGATTGTACCGGCAACGAGCCCTAATGATTAATAGGATATTGTTCACAATAAGAGCCACGGACGTCCAGGATAAACAGTAATCTCATCAGCGGGAGGATGTTGGCAACAAGGACGGAAGCCATGCTGATGAAATGGGCAAGCAATCTCCAACTGTTGTGCCATGCGCTACGAGTCGTCTCTTCGCGTCCTGTTGCTGCCCCTGAAAGAATGTGGAAGCCTGACACGCACGGATTACACCAAGATTGAGGTTGCATCGTTTCACGTGATGAGAAACACCTTCCTTGTATATGTGCCTGCCCTTAGACGACCCGTCTTGGTGTCCCCTGTGGGTGGACCGAAATCCTGCACTTCCTCTCAGTGCCACTTTCAGCCAGGCGGCTAGCTGCCAAAGCGCTTGAAGCGTGCTGGTTGCTGACTCGTGCACTTGGTGGGCCTGGGTCAGCTCTAAAATTGATCTTTATACTAATTTTATAGGCGCGCGCCGCAGAAGCCTCTAAAACCTTTTTCTTGAGCTTCATCTTCTCTCTCTCTGCGAGACGTAGCCTTCGCAGCGTCTAGATTCAACTCTCGCATCCTGGATCTGCATGTCCAAAACTGCATGTCCTGGCGCCTGGGGAGCCTTTCTGCAGGAGACACGTGGCATCAGGGCACCGGGGCTGGATATTTTGGGAGGAGCCCAGTATACAGCCCAGACGGCCCGTGTGCGAAGCTCGCTGAAAGTGGGGGTCATCAGGTATAAGAATCCAATGCAACGCCTGGAACTCCATAATCATATCTTCATCATCCAAGTTGCCCAGATACCTTTGCCGAGATGGAACATGTGCGCCTGGGCTCTTCTTCATTGCGAGGGCTCCCCTCGAAGACTGCATCCTTCAGCTGGTGAGTCAGAAGAACTGAAGAATTCGACAAAACAAGGAAACTTACTGGTGCGTCATGGAAGAAAAACAGTCTGAGCTTTTAAGTTTTTGTCCGAGGTCCCCACTGCCGCCTGCAGAGGGTCCCATCTCCAGTCGCCATTGAAGGCGCGGAGCGTGTGGGCGTAGGCGAAAAGCGCCTGGCAAAACACGACGTTGGGCGGCAAACCGCAGAAGCTCGCGGCATTCGCTGCAGGTTGGGTATGTTTAAGCAAGATTTTTCCCAACATCCTGGGATCTTATCACTAATATCGCGATCGTTGGACCGATAGCGGGGTGCCTCATTCCCTGAAGCTTCGATGCTGCAGACAAGCATGCAAGCGGCAGGCCATGCCTCGAGCACTGTGAAGACAACGGAGGGGTGTGCCTGGCTCGTTGGAAATGGCAGTGGCACGAGAATCAGGGGCTTGGCAGCCTGTTTAGCCCAATGCCAGGGACGAGTTCAAGTCATCGCCTAGTCCTAGTCCTGCATGCAGTGAATTTGTAAGTGCATGCGCTCTTTGCCGGCTTTCTTCTCCCAAGCTAGGCCAGCCCCATGAACAAGCCAAGCCGACACCCTTTGCACACTTCCTAGTCCCAAGTCCAGGCCTGCCGGCTCCCATCCGCAGAACAGCCTTGGAGGCAAAGGATTGCAGTCGCAGCCGGGGGCGCGGTACGAAGACGTTCAATCTTTTTCCTAGTGGAAGACATCTAGGTGGGGCTTTTAAAGCCTTTGAAAAATATTAGTAAATAAGATCCTCTTAAGCCCAACAAGGGAAAATATAAAATGCCCCAAAGCCCTACCTAGCTCTCATTAGCCATATGACTAATATTTTTACTATTATTACTATTATCATTATTACAGCCTTTGCACGACCTGGAGTCCCAAAGCCGTGCCTCTGCGGAATTTCCCCTGCGCCTTCGGCTGGAAGATACTATGACTACTACTATTCATGACTACACTAATGATAGTATTCATACGAATGATACTATTACTACTATTATTCATGACTATACTAGTTACTAATGATAGTATTCTAACTAGTATCCTATGAGAAGAATTGCCCTCATGTTTTTCTGAGATCGGCGCAGAGGTGTCTCGGGGGATCCTGGTGCAGCGACTCGTCGCCTTCGAGGCCTCGTGGAACCAGAGCTGCAGCGAGCACTGGGGCTCAAGGATTGCAGGGCCAAGGGGCAAAATAGACGCATTCAAGTATATAGCGATGCATATCTGCACTGTGTGTCTGTATGTATGCATTTATATATATATATATATATATATGTATATAAATGTCTTTACACGAGATCCCCAACTCTTGACTCGAGGATCTTGTCAGTCGAGGGGCCGGAGACATCGTCCTCATCTAAGGCGAGGAGGTCCACGGCGGCGGCTTTCTGCCACCTCGATTTGTGGTTTAAGGCCGTGTTTAGGCCTCCTTGTGCTCCTTTAAGGTTACTATGAGGGCGAGTGTTGAAGGGTTTCAGGGATTCTCAGAGGCTCCCAAACCGCTCCAATCCAAGAGTATGCCATTTACAGTTCCTATTATATTAGACTAGGAACATTCCTTGATCAACCACCCCATGCAGTGGGGAACAAGAGGAGCCCCGTAATGCATTGCTTTGCATCCCAAGCACGGCCGGGACCTTCCTCTTATTGTCGACAGCCCCTGAACACAAAGGCCAGCATGACCAGCCCATCCTACATGATACCACTGGCAACGCCTTTAAGCACTCATGTCGCCAAAGCCCCTGTCCAAACCGAAGAAGCCTCCGCATGAAATTCACGTCACGCCGGCCTGTCATCCTGATGTTGAATCCGAAGTGGTTTAAAGGTAACCTTCATAGTACCCTTAAAGTAAGGAAGCTCAAGCGGATGCCGTCTTGCCCCCCTAGAGCCTTACCTATTGAAAAAGAAAGTCACCTCAAGGGTGCCTACAAGCCGAAGGCTCTGCAGAATCGAAGCTCCAGGCTTACAAGTTGAAGCTGTTCGACTGCCTTGAAGGCGAGCCCTTGGATGCTAAACTCCAATGAATTCAGGTCGGTCCCAGATAACTGGACTGCGTAGCACTGTGTAAGAATGGTAATGTTGTGTGTATGGGCTGGGGGACACTTGCTTCCTCGCAGTCAGGACTGCGGCACCACTAGAACCAACACAACGATAACGACAACACCAACATCAAGCAGGACGACGACTACAACCACTAGTATGGATACACACTGCGATGCATGCAGTCTCTCAAGAAACTGACCACAACACGAACCCTCAACTCTACAGCCCTAAACCCTGCGTCCCGAAAAGCATTCACGATCCGATGCTCCGGTGCTGGGCTCCCGACCACGGCTCCCACGCGCCCAGGGCACGGCCCAGATCCCCACTCTTCAGCGCTACCCGGAAGGACTCCGCCTGATTCGCTGACGGAGCGCTCGGCTGGGGAAGCAGACGTACGAAGATGGGTAAAGGCTGGGTTTTTAGGTAGACCCTACCTAGCGGGGCACTCCAAGAAAGGGGCCTAAATCTCGGTGATGGGCTAGGCGGCGAAAGTGAGGTCTGGGTCCGGGATCTGGATGCAATGGCCGTGTACCAGCAAGGAGGACAGAGAACCCTCAGCCCGAAACTGCATACCCCATGCGGCCCATACTCCTTACACCTTAAACCCTGTGAAATCTCTACGCTCTCCGCGCATGCCTCCTCCTCTGTGAGGTCTTCAAGGCGCAGCTCTCCCGACGCGGCGAGCTCGGCGAGCATCTGCCGACAGCTGCGCCAGGTGTGTTTCAGGACTTTAGAGCTTCAGGGCCTCTCAGAGCCTTTCAGACTTCAAATGTATATCGAAGCCTGAGCAGAACTGTAAAGAGGCTGAGCGCGCCTGGAAGGAGAGGCTCAACTGGAGCAGCAGGCTGATGCGCTTTGGCCCCGCGAGGTGTGACAGTGACACAGTGTATAATGGTATGTTATACCATAATATTGTATATGGTACAACATATAGTGTATAAATCAATGTATAAATAGATATGTAGTGGAACCTGGTATGTTATGATCTACTATACCAGATGGCATAACACAACTGTTAAAGCATATTCATAATAAAGTCTTGGGTGATTTTCATGGACCCAAAGACAGCGGAGTGGCGAGCCTCGAGTCGCTTCTCTGACGCGTCGCCTTCATCCTCGGCCTCCTGGAAAGGAACATTTTAGGGGTGTAGGGTTCAGGGGCTTAGGGGTTTAAGGCTTAGGGGTTCAGGGGTTTAGGGGATGAGGGGTTTAGGGGTTTTTAGGGGTTGAGGGGCTTTGGGGTTCGGGGTTTAGGGCCCAATTTTTTTCGGGGTGCCTTTCTTTGTTTGTTTGGGGTTGTGCTGGGGTCGGCTGCAGCAGAGTTGGGCATCATGCTCTCCGAGACTCCGAGGCTCCAAGGGCTTTGTTTGACAATGACCACATAAAAAATGCTTTTATTCACAGGGTACAATTTTAATTGCTATTTATTCACCCTGAACACATCAATAACATCATTCTTATTGTTTGGCTATTGCTTTGTATTTATTAACCCTGAACCCGGAGCTGTGCAGGTGTTGGCTGCCTTTTCGAGGCCGTTCAATCAATCCAACAGCCATTCAGCTGAGCAGGAACTTTCTTGCACACCGAGCTAATACGGTATGTGGCAAAGACTTCCTGCAAAGGACTGCAGCTCTCTGATTCTTGTGATGTACTGTCTGGTGATCGTAGCTGCAAGCCTAAAGCAGAACACGTTCCAGCTCTCCACTTCTCAGCCCCTCAGAGTGTTGGGGCAGCAGAGAGCAGGCCAAGCCCAACGAGAAGCAGCAGGAAGTGGCCTTGCAAAGTGAAGCGTGAACTTGGTCAGGTTTTCATGGCGTCCTATGTCCGTGGAGCTGATGCAATACTCAACATCGCAAACTTGGCGCTTTCGTGTTCGAAGCTCTTGGCCCTTGGGGATCTTACAACTGAACTCCGTCTCTAGAGTTCTCGGACTTCCCTGACCCCACGCAATGAACGGAGAAACCCCAAGCCCCCCCAAACCCCTCGAAGCCTCAAATTCAAAACCACCCTAAAACCCTAAACCCCTAAACCCTAAAGTCCCAAGCCCTGAACCCCTAAACCATAAACCCTAAACCCCAAAACCGCCAACAGTAAAGGATGCCAGGTATCTTGTCTTCGCCGGCCCGCTGTAGATGCGCTTCGTGAGCTTCATAGCCAGGCCGAGACCTCAAGGCATCCAAAAGCCAGGGGCCTTATAAGGGTTCCTTAAAAGGGGATCTATAAGGGTTCCTTAAAAAGGGGCCTTATAAGGGTTCCTCAAACAGGGATCTATAAGGGTTCCTTAAAAGGGGGCCTTATAAGGCTTCCTTACAAAGGGATCTATAGGGGTTCCTTAGAAAGGGATCTATAAGCCTTGCCTTAAGGGCTCCTCTAGGGAATCTAGGGCTCCTTTAAGGGATCTATAGGGCTTTTTAAAGGGCTCCTTAGGGAATCTATGAATCTTTGAGGGTCCCCTTGGTGGTCCAGGCCGAGACCTTCAAACTGACTTTGCGCCTCAGGCCTTTTGTGCATGTGCTTCAACGTCGTCGTAGTAGTAGTAGCAGGAGTAGTAGCAGCAGGAGTAGTAGGTAGTAGGCAGAAGGTAGTAGGAAGTAGGTAGTAGGTAGAAAAACCGTGGACCACCTGGAACCTGGCTCAGCCGCAAGCCCTGCAAAGGCTGTTCTGGTCAAAGCTGCCGACGCCGGCTGCGAGCAGCCCCATGAGCTGCCTTGCATCGAAGCCCTCCTGGTGCATGCGGATCACCTCCAAACAGAGGCAGAAGACGCGAAATGGATGCAGAAATAGCCAGTAGCAGTAAAGTGCGTGAGAGTGGGGGGGCTTCATGCACCATTGCCTTCTTTGCGAATGCTTCAACGGGTGTGAGTTTGCTGTCAGAATTTTCGGTGGCCTTGGCTGCTAGCAGCGACACAGCGCAGCCCTCCGCATATCCAGCAATCACATCCAGCCAGTGGTGTGCCAAGAAATACCTTGGATGCAAGCATTGCTTGAAGCCTGATCCCAACAATCCCACGAAGAGAAGGACAAAAGAAGAATACTCGCTGAATCCGCGTCCCTAGCGACTATATAACCCTACACTCTTAAAGCCTAGAACCCTAAACCCCTCATGCTTCAGGGTAACTCAAAACCTAAACCCCGTCCGTCCTAGGATGACTCGGCTATCTGGATGATTCGGTAGTCCTTTACTTCGGGAGTTCTCTAAATCCGGGTCCCTTGTTAGGTCCCCAAATTAACACGGCACCCTTGTAAAAAGAACCTTGAAAGGGACCCTAATCTGAAGAACAATCCATGTGATGGGACTAGAATCCCATGATCTTTGAAGTAACCCCGACGACCCCAGAAGAGAACCCTTATAGCTCCCTGATCAGGAACCCTTTGATTCAGGAACGCTTTGAGATAAGTAACAAGTCCACCCGACAGAGCCTGAACCCGAACCCGAACCCGAGCCTAATTAATGCCTTCCAGGCTGCACACGGCCAAAGCCAACCTCAAGCGGCTGATGTAAGGGGCCCGTCGCTAGAGCTGGGCTTTTTGGCGACTTCAATAAATTAAGGTATCTGCAACGGAATGGCTCTCCTGGGAATTCGGAACCCGAACCGGCTGGCCCCGAAGCATCCTTCAGCCCCACCGGCTGGGCCCAACGCCTGGTACTTACCGAAAGGCTGTGTGTAAGATTTTGGAAGCTGTGCGACTGCTCGGACAATGCAGCTGATCCCTCATGGGCTGACTCTCGTCGGCTTGCTTTTGAGAGCAAGTAGCTGTGACCCATCAAATCGGTACCAGTAGGACTGGGTCCCCAAAAACCACTGCTTGAAACAAGTAGTCATAGTAGCCCCTGTTGTACCCCTTCTACTAATCCTCATAGCTACCCCCTATCGTACCCCTCAAAGTAACAATTACAGTATTCATCCTCGTGGTAAGCCCTTCTTATACCCCTTAGAGTAACCCTCGTAGTACACCTTATAGTAGCTGTTATAGTACTCCTTAGGCTAACCCTTTCAGGAACTATTACGGTAACCCTCGTGGTAACCCCCTCTATACCCCTTAGAGTAACCCTCATCTTTGCTGCCACAGCGGCATAGAGGCCCAGGAGCCACCAGCCGCTGCCACAGCCGGCCAGCGCCAGCGACGCGCCTTCGGGCTTTGGGTTTAGTTGGGAGCTTTAGGGTTTAGGGCTTTAGGGTTTGAGGGTTTAGGGTTTGGGGTTTAGGGGTTAAGGCTTAGGAGCTTTAGGGCGTAGGAGTCTGTATGCATACATACATGCATGCATACATGCACGCAGTTCGTTGTTTCAAGACCCGGAGCTCCGGGATACCGCAAGTTTGCTCGGGGCTTTCGGGAAGTGCAGGGTTCGGGGTATGAAGGTCCTTGCCATTTTGACGGTGTTCCGGTTTGTGCGGCGCTTGGTAGTGGGACAACCTCCCAGAGAGCCCAATACCCCTTAATTAAGGAACATGGCTTAAATCATACTATGAAGCCCTATACAATTTAAGCCATCCTCCTTAAATAAGGCGTATTTTGAATCCCCTCAACCCTATAGATCCCTTTAAAGGAACCCTAGGCATATTCCTGAAATAAGGCGCCCCTTGGGCTCTCTGCTCCAAGGGTAAGAGGCGGGACCCTTAATAAGGACCCCTAATATAGCTATTATATACCCATTATATAGCCCGTTATAGGGTAGGGGTCCCCATTATTTGGACTGTCTAAGGATGGAGTCGGCGGGTCGTTTCGGCGTTGAGGTGTTTCTCTTGCATTCACATAAATACGGTTGATGATGTAAATCCTGCATTACCTTAAAAACCCTAGACTATGGGAATTATGGTATACTCCTTATTAAGGGTAATGCAGGATTTATATCATCAACCGTAAGGCCCTAACACAAGCACGTAAGCAAAATACGGATAGGATAGGGATATCCCATATAAACCCCCTCAGAATGAACCCCAATAAGGTCCTTGGAGGATCATGGGACTTAGTAAGTATGGTTATAAGTACCTTAATTGGGGTCATAAGCAACTATAAGTCTAGTTACCTTAAAAGTAGCCCGAGTTACTAAGTCCCATGATCCTTGAAGTAGGGATTCACCTAAAGACTCCTGCGAGTCGGCCTGTTACACTCCCGGCCATGGTGTCGCCCGACGGAAAAGAGGCACCGTCCTCAGCAACGAGCCTTTCTACTATTTGCTTAAGAAACCCCCAAAAAATAAAAATAATAATCCCTATGGGGGTTCTTAAGCAAATAGTAGCTTTCGAAGCATGCAACTCTTCCCTTGTTGTTGCATGAACCGTGCGGTTCTCTATCACATAGTGCTGTTGCTGCTGCGCTTCTATTTCTTACGGTTGCCATGGAATGATTTATACCCCACGTAAGCTTCATGTGGGGCTTGATCGGGGCAATCCGGCACCTTCCATCCTGAACCCCCCTGAAGATTCAGTCATCACGCAATTCAGGAAATTCTCCACTGTTGCGTGCTCATGCAATCTTCCGGGCGGAGGATCGATGAATGTTCCCACACCAAACACACAGTCCTGCACCATAAGCATCATTGGCTCATGAATTGCCAAGCTGCCGCGTGTGTATCCGTTATGATGATGGTGCGGAACATTCGCTTCACCTGCTCTGTCAAACTGCACCGGCAGCATCGCGCTGCTCTTGGTTTTTCTCTGAAGATTGAGACAAGGGTCCAATTGCTCTGATTGCTGTCCATGAGTGTGGTGCTGAAGTCTCTGGAAGGCGCAAAATCTTCGTGAAGATTATGATGATGGTGAAGATGATGACGATGATGAGCAAAGCAATGACGGCAACCATAATCACAATGACCCTGATAAATCGCAACGATGGCGATGTTGATGAGCTTCCTCCGATTCTATGCCGCTGCAGCTACTGCTGCCGATACAGCAGTTTGCCACCCAGAGGGAGGAGCCGCAAGGGGATCCAGGGCAAAGAGAAGTCACAGGGATCCGACAAAAACCACGATGGCAGGCAGGGCGACAGCTGGCGCAATCAACACAAGCAGATGGAAGTTGATTAGCAAAACAAGCCAGAGCAGCAGCAACAATAGGCACCATGGAATCGTAGATGCCACCATCATTCATCTTCACTGTGGCGAACGGCTTATGACACAGCGACATGACTAGCCAGGCTGATGCTTACAATCACCCAAATGGCTGACAGGCAGCCAAAGCGGAAAGATTGTAGCGTGATCAGCATCGACGGTCCTCCTCCTCCTTCTCATCATCATAAATTTTCCTCGTCATCATCACATATCATCACCATGCTGAGACAGAATCTTCTCGCGATTGTCACCAGCCTCATCAACGAATCCAAGATACTGTTGTTTTTGCAGCTCTGAGTCCCCATTGCCTCTTCTCCGAAACCTAACATTCAATGCTGCAGCTGCGGAGCATCGTCGGGAGGCACCGGTCTCTCACGCTGAAAAACCAGCTTCAAGATGCGATTGAGCACTTGGCCGTAGCACAGGGCAAACCTGCAGTGCACATTCCAGGGCTGTGATTGAGCTCGGGCTGGCCAAGGGCCCAACTTCAAGGACGGCAAAAGTCTCGTCTGCGATAGCCAAAATTGAAATCCAAAAGGAACTATGTCCACCGAGGTAACGCAGCGACGCAGGCTACATGTCAAGCCACAATCTTGGCCACAGGCGTACTTTTCCCACAAAGAGGAGAGCAGAACGTGTGCGAGAAGAACATGAAAATTTGCTTCGCACGCACATGCGTACCTGCCTGTGTGGAGACTCATGCATGCATGCACGCATGCATGCAGGTATGCACATGTGGACGTTGTGTCAGCGGTGCAAACACTCTGTCTCCGTGCAGGTGTGCCTACATGTGTTTGCATACATTTCTGTAGAATTATGGACAACTGCATGCTTTTGTGTGGAAAATATGCAGAACACGGTAGATGGGTCGGTCGGTAGGTACACAAGGATTTGGTAGATGGACAGGCAGATGCATGCCATACACGATGATTGCGGCAACAAGCGACCCTCACAGATACCTTGCAGCCTTAACTTGGAACTACTTGAACCACGGGATGCAGTAATCCCACTTGCAACTTAACTTAGATAAACTTACAAAGTTGACGGATCCTGCGGGACTGCTGAGCTTCCGGCAGCACCATCCGCAGAGGCTGAAAGCCATAGCACAGCCCAGCGAGCGTCAGAGAGATGCCGACGCCCTCCCAGCTGAACGCCAGGGAGCCTCTCGGTATCCAGGGCGGCTTGAAAAGCTGTCGAAGCCTTCAACCTAAAACGATGAGGGTGAATTGCTATGGAAGGTGCTGTAGTGGATACTACAAAAGCTAGGCGATCTGCCGGCTTGCTGATACTTCGTGCCCCCCCCCCCCCCCCGTGACACTGCGTTTCACTGGCTCCAGCGGCAGCCAAGCTAAGCCTTGCCTGGATAAACCAGGACCTCCAGCCATCCCAGCGATAAAGACTGCGCTTGCCGCGTCAGGTAGACCTTGGACACCGCAGCAAATCTCAGCCAATGCACCAATCAATCGTCCATAATTAGAGGAGTTCCTCCAAGGTAACTATCTAGCTAGCTTGGAAGACTTGCTTATGGCACGTTAATGCGTCGGCTCTACAGGTGAGGAACCCCTATCTGAAACGACCCCGCGCTGCCTAGTGCGGCCTCGGCATTCAACGAGGTCAGTTGTATGGTATGGCAAGGAGCCAGAGGGCGAAGGAAACACCCACAGTTGCATCATAGTTAGTTTGCATGAGATGGTATGATATATAGCCACTCATGCAAACAGGCCCTGCCTCTCTTACTCTCTTTTCTCTGAACGTTCCTAACCAAAGCTCGAGCAGGAACCCACGCTCCTCCAGATTGCGTGCATTTGCGTCGCCTGTTTGTCTACATAAAACCCCAAGGGAATGCAAGGGAACGAAGTGCACATGCTAGAAGCTGCCCCCACCCTGTAATAGTGGTATAATAGGAATATAATAGGGCCCTACTATAACCCTAGCTTATACAGGGTGGGGGCAGCTTCTAATGCACATGCTACATCTACACAGGGACTGCGGGGAGGGCCGTTATTGCCTGAACACCCGGCGCCCTCAAAATATTCGACAGAGCATCGTCGAGCTCTAGAAGCCGCGACAAGCTGGCCATGGCACACGCCAGGAAAATAGGGGACCCTAATATAGTACCCCTAAATGGTAGGACCCTTAATGTAAGGACCCCACAATAAGGTACCCCCCCTGTTTTCGGAAACTCCCAGGTAGTTCCGGATTGTGATATTGCCTATTGCAGCGGCGACTTGCGTGTATTGCAATATGCAACTACCAGGGCAACTTGCATCAAGCATCCTGACCTTGGAGTCGGAAACAACACATCCAGGTTCCATCATGACAAGCAATACCTAGCATTTTATGGAAGGGGTAGGGGTTTGCGAACCTAGGGCATGAAGAGAATGATGCAAACTAAGACTCAGGATTGTCTTGTGGCTATGCCTGAAGCTGGAGCCAAGGGCTGCGTGGAGTAAAACGTCCGATCGTCGATTCATTTGTGCATCGGAACTCAGGCTTTGTTTTCGAATCAGCCCCTTGCAAGAACGAATCAATGTGCTTCTAGCTCCGGTTAAGTCTTTGTGCCATGTCAAATGATCAGAGTTGTTAGCAGTCATGGCCATGACGGGACCCACCACATCTGCAATACTTCCCCTGTGGCTGCTGTGTTAGAGTTCTCGCGACACTGAGAACCACTGCCACGCCGGCGTTTCACGTCCTCGTCTTCATCGTCGGAGGCAGCATCCAGTCTCGCCAGTGATGCCATCACCTCTTGTTCGGTAGTGCCGACAGACAGTACTAAGTGCTTCTGAGGAACAGTGGCCATGGCACGAAGGAGAAGTCACCCCAAAACGCATGCACGAAGACCCGATCAGAGAAAGAACACATTCGCCGGGGCCTTCTCCAGGTGACGCTTCTCCTCGTCAGACACCTGCGCCAGGTGTCACGAAACCTACCCCTGCCCTTTCAAACTTACCTTTGGTTAGTAGGGAATGGAGGAATGGGGTACTATTACAACTACTATTACTACCATTCTTCCATTCCCCACTAACCAAAGGTAAGCTATAGGATTACCCAGGCCCCTGTATTATAGTACCCTTATAGATCCCTTATACTAACCTAATAAGTACAAGACCTAAGAGTAACCTAGGAACAAAAAGGGTGCCCTTTTCGGTTTAAAGGTGGTTATAAGGGAACCTAAACCCCCAAAAAGGGAATAAGGGCCTACTCTGGGTCCTAGAGTACCTCTTATACTAGCCCTTATAGACCCCTTTAAGGATCCCTTTATTAAAGGCCTCCATTCCCTACTAACCCAATAAGTACCAAAGGTAAGTTCAGAGAGACGCGGGCTGGACTGGAGCAGCAGTCGCCCCTGCGCGCCTTGTGGCTCCGGAGCTCCTCCTCGACCTGCCCAAAAGGAGGGCTCTTGTCTTAGGGGATTTTGACTTTCAGTTACCATAGTAGGGGGTTTAATGTAAGTTACCATATAATAGGGACTTGATTTGGGTTACCAGAATAGGGATCTTGTTGTAAGTTTGAATAATGAGGTCCCCGTCTTAACAAGAACCCAGAAAACGAGGGAGGCGAAGGCAGCGGAGGCAAAGGCCCAAGGCCCGAAGGCCCTCAGGGCCCTGAGCCCAAGAAGTCTCTCTCTCTCTCTCTCTCTCTCTCTCTCTCTCTCTCTCTCGTCTCTTTCTCCCAAGACCAAGAGGACCTAGCTTGGCTTTCTGATGGTCTTGGGGTGCTGTAACTAGGCTAAGAAGTCCTCCACACCTATGTATGCATCCCAACAAGTGCCTCCCCTGAAATGCTACGGCCTTTGCTAAGGAGAGGACAAGCGCAGAACGTAAGCATCAGCCTGAGACTTGTAGAAGCTCTCCGTGCATTTGCTGCCATGTGCCTGGCACGGGACAAGAGCTTTCTTTACCGTGAGGCTGCAGAGCGATCAACCGCGAGTCGTTTTCAAACCTCACCCCAACCTGTCGTTGCATGCATCATCCTGATGATGCTTGGGAGCACGTCCAGACTTGAAAGCGGCATGGAAACAAGAGCAGTCAGAGCCCTAGCCTGGTAGCAGTCGAGGCTGCAGTAGGCTGCTTGGCACCGTGGGCACGTGTAGCGCGCCTCAAGGCACCGCTTTCGACAGAGGAGCTCCCTGAAAGATTTGGTGATGGTGATGCCTTTCAATGGGGGGTTTTGGCATGTGCGGCGTGTCTTTCTGAGAATGAAGAACTTGTAGCTGCACGCACAGACTTGACAGCTGGTGGCCTCTGCACGGATGCAGACGCTGCACACGGGCCGCATTGCCAGCAGGAAAATGCTCGGCTCCACTGCAAAGTCAGACTCTCAAAATGGCCTTGTACCACGCCACCAACAAGGGTGACACCTAGCACTCTTTCATTGGTCGAGATATCCGGGGTTGTGTGTCGACAAGTTCACAACCTTTAGAGTCAGAGGCCATTTGGGCTGTGCTGCTCTGGACAGGGTTTTGCAGACTGAGTTGCTTCGGTTGGCAATTTGTTCCGAACGTGATTATGTACAGCTTTGAAGTGCCGACGAGCCTGACAGAGCCTTCACCATGGGCAGCAGAGTCGTGGAAACACATGCAGCCCACAATGCCTGACACTGAGCAATCTTCCTGAAGAGCTTTTGGGGGGACTGGTGAAGGTTGGACCTTCGTCATCCTCCACGATCCCACAAGACACTTCACCATGGATTCCAGAAGGTGACCTCGACAACCCATCTTTCCAACAGCGCATACAACTTCTTTCTCGATTCCTGTGGGCATCCGCAATTTTTTCCTTCCACAGATCACAAAGCCATGCAGCGAAGCGCAGCTGTTTTTCGAGGCTTCAAGGAGTTACTGCAGTTATGAAAGCTTGCAGGTCTATGAGCAGGCCGTACTCGATACAACCTTAGAGCTCTCGCAGGTCTGGACCCTCTGCTGTGAGTTCTCGAGGTTGCAGGAAGTTTCTGCATCCCAGCGGCTCTCACTTCCATCTGTCCTGCGCAGAAGCATATTGCCATGTAAGGGAGCTCTGAATGATAGGCCTGTAAATCTGGTGAAGCCTCTCATTGCCCATTGGCGGATGGGCAGAATCCGTGACGGTTCAAGCTGATTTGAAGGCAGCAAGCAGTACACATCCAGGTTCATACAGGTCTTTCAGAGACGTATTTTCCCGAACTCGCAGTGGCTTCGGGGTTCAATCGGTCCGGGGCCCTTTGAAGGCATGCCTTTGTGATCCATGTAGAGAGTCATAACACCCCAGTTGATGAGCCTTGTAGCAACCCTCATACTCACCTTGAGCCCGCCCTTCTAATATTACATCAATAAATGCATACATACATATATCTCTATCTCTCTCTCTCTCTCTCTCCCTCTCTCTCTCTCTCTTTCTTCTGTCGCTCTTCTGATGACCCTTAAGAAGAACTCTCATAGCTCGCTCTCTATCTCTCTCTCTGATGACCCTTAAATCTCGCATACTTCGGGTCTCTCTCTCTCTCTCTCTCTCTCTCTCTCTCTCTCTCTGTCTCCCTTCTGTTGACCTTTAAAGTAACTCTCATAGTTCCGGTGACCCTTAGAAAGAACTCTCATAAGTTCGGGTCTCCTGAAGCACCCTTGTCCTTCTAGAAATAATAGACAGAGCCCTATACCTATATCCCTTAATAGGAATTATTTGAGATTGTCTACTAGCCGGTCTGTTTATTCTCTTGGGGGAACCATGAAAAAGGACAAGGCTGCTTTATGGAACCCGCTCAAAAAACCCTCTAAACTCACTAAACCCTTGAAGGAACTCCCTTAAAGGAGCCCTTTATTGGAAGGACAAGGCTGTCCTGAAGCGCTTTCCTCTGGGCGAGGAAGGAGGCCACGGCCCAAACCACGAAGACAAGGCCGACCTGAGCAGCCCATGAACTCACAAAAAAAGGCGTCCTTATAAGGGTTCCTTAAAAGGATTCCTTATAAGGGTTCCTTTAAAGGGTTCCTTATACTGAATTCCCCTTAGAACAATAATGGAATGTGTTTTGAATATTCTCTTGGGTTTTATATGAACAAGAATACAAGAAAAACTCCTAAGGAGACTAGAGTACAACGGTTCTGTACGGGTTCCTTTGAAGTAGAAGACCTTGCTGAGAAGACTTGGAGGATCATTGGAACTCAGTGAGTCTGGCTCCCTTACGCGGGATCCTGAAAGGCACACACACACACACAAAGGAAATCCTTCAAGGCTTCCCTACAAGGGATCCTTAAAGGAAATCCTTAAAGGGTTCGTTGCCAGGGATCCCTAAAATTTATCCTTGAAAGGAATCCTTAAATTAAAGGGCACTAGAATGGTTCCCAAGTAAGTACCATTCCTCTAAGTACTTTTCTGAGCTACTAGAAGGGTTTCGCAAGAGGGTGTGATACCGGTGTGCTAATTGGGGCTTGGGTGCCACTGCTTTCGGGTTGGAGGAAAATTTGAGCGATCATCCGGGGAGGGGCTACTGGGGAGTAGGAGTTTCAAGACTTCAGACTTGAGGCATTGGGCTTGGTGCTTGGGATCAAAGTCCATCATCATATCAGCACGTAGTAAAAGACCCCTGGTACGTCAGCACAGGTCCCAGATCGTTGAAGCTTACCACGTCTGAGCAGCATGCTGAACCGTAGAGCAGCAAGTAGTTGAAGCCAGGGCCTCAATGAGCTTGCTGACTGCACAAATGCCCGTTGCTGTCGTTTTAGGGTTTAGGGTTTAGGATGGACAGTGCTTATGCAACTACGTTGGCGACTACTTGTTGGAAGCAATCGGACACTGTTATTCCTGCAATTTCTAGGCAGTTCCTTTCCGATCCCGCTGCCAAGAGCACGGCTCAACACGTCGTAGCCCTTGGCGGACTGCACCGGGATGAAGAAGAGGTCCAAGCCGTGTGCAAAAACCTGGACCCAGAAAATCATCGCTGGCTGAAGCAAAGTGCCACGTGTTGGGAAACATTTTTTCTCCCACTCGTGGGGAAGAGCTTTAAGGCTGTCGGTCAGCACTCTGAAGACGGCCGAAGGTACCGCAACACCTACCACAAGAACAGGCCAGCCGTGCCAAGGACGTTGACCTGGCAGTTGCCGCAAACACA